AATATTTTAACCACGATACCATATTTTGTAATATATTAATAAAACACAAACCGTTGTAGTCATTTATGAATTTTTTTTTTATTAGAATAAGCCTCGGCAGCGGTGGCCATTGACTGACATTGTTCACATTGATTTTATATAATTTTTTACATAGGTAGTTTAGTTTTTACATATTATTTTATACTATTTGTTTACAATAAATTTTCAATTTCAGTTTCTTTTATGAAGTTTAGTGTCTGTTTAATGACTGATACGTTTGGACTTAATGATTGGTATAGAAATTCTGGGATGTTGTGTTTGGTTCTTGCATCTTCTGTTTGTCTGCATTCAACGAGTATATGTTTTATAGTCATGTGAACTCCGCATGTTGTGCACCTGGGTTGTTCTTCTTTGCTCATTAGGTAACCATGGTGTGTGAAGCGAGTATGTCCTATTCTTAGACGTGTTAATAACATTTCTTCTTTTCTGTAAAGATTTGCTATGTTTTTCCAACGTTCTGTAGTTTCATTTATGAATTATAAACAATCAAAATTATATTTCATACCTAAGGGATATAAATTACAATAAAACAAATAATAAAATTCCATTAAACGAGCTGAAAATCATAATCAAATTCATAAAAAAATAAATATAAGGCATTCAAATAAAAACTCAAAGTATATGGGTGCTAAGTATGAAGTTTTATTATCATATGCTATCGTGTTTCTCCGAGGTCCTTCATACCCCAACTTTGAGAATTTTATACCCATTCGGCAATATCCCATCTAGGTATTATTACTCAATGTCGAATAGGAGACGATTTATTTTAGAGTTTTCATTGGAAAAACGGAGATGGTTTACGATACATGTGTTCTGTATTCTTCGCAGAATACGAATGTGCCAAATTGTGATGGTTCTTTTGTCACGCTCAGCTGAAATGTGTTAGTTTGGATTAACCAAAAAAAGTCTAGAATTACATAATATCCACAATTGGGCCACATATATATTCAGCTTGAAGTTTTTGAGGACACGTAGACCTCCAATACCACTTGAAAAAAAAATTTACATTAAATTCGTATTTTCATATTTTATCGTATTTTAAATTAGGCCGATAATTCTAACATCACTAATTATAAATTATGAAGAATTAGTGGACGCTCTTAAACGTGACAGTTAATTCATACATGTGKTAGRTAAAWCATATTGTTAAATATCTGTAGAAGTCAATCACAGACGATTTGTATAATATACAAAATTTAAGCCACCTATAAAAACAAATTCTTAAAAAAGGCAAAAATTATTTTGAATAAAATTTTTTTCAGATTTTTTAATTATAGCTTTATAGTATGATAAAAAATAACCAGTTTATACAACTTTTTTTTTTGCCTGTTGTTAATTTTATAGATACCAATGTCCATGTTTATATTTCAACAAACTAATAGACAACAAGCAGTAATTTTAAAACCATATAAATCTAAATACAGTAAGTAATGTTGTTTAAAACAAAATGATTCAAACCTAGAAATTCTGTAACAGCTACTGCATATCTAATCTAGTTTTAATGAAACAATCTAATTTTCTCTAATGTACGATTATCTACCGTTCGAGAGCGAATCATGCGATTAATTAAAATTTCTCGTGGTCTGTGGAGCATTTCATGTTTTTAGTATTTACAATTTAATGTAATTTTCAGTAGACTAAAATTTGATTATATTATGAAGAATATCCAATGCTAACTTAACCTACTTAAAATTTACATTTTATAGTTGTGTACAAAATGCAATATTTATCTAACAAAATGCAAAATTAAATAGAACATTTCAATGAGTATATTTTACATTAACATTACTTTTCAATAACAATATTGTTAAGTTATTATGATGACATGTACATTGCATAAGCCATACAGGTATATCGAGTATCGATATCACCCATAAAAAATACTTAAGTACCAAACTTCCAGCTATATTTTTTAGTTACCTACACAAAAACGTTAAAACAAAAATGACGACACTGATAATATGGTATGAGAATACATAATGTATGATAAAGTTAAATATATTTTGTTTTCGTAAATTTATAGCGAATTAAACATGTTTGATATCTACCTATCAATTATTATACAATTTTGACTTGATATATRSCCTATGTAAGTGTATGCTACAGATAATATTTACGGGTCTTTTAAAAAAATGTATAAGATAAGTATATTTTATGAAGTTGATTAATTCAAAATATTTCCTATATTCATCGTTGGCTTCTATATCAATACAACTATACATGTGATTATCACTTAGAAAAAAGCACTCATAAGTAGGTAGTGTATTAATTTATATCAATAACTCATCAAAGATATGAATTTTTTTTATAAAATTTAAATAATTTCTACCCAGTGATTACCACCAWAATCCATCAATCAAATTCGAAGACAGATGATCAAAACACGTTATTTATGGGTTTCGTTTTTAAAACATACATTATAAAACTGAATCAATATCGAAAGGTTTTTGATGAATACAGCAAGTAAAAATATTTTGAGTATTGAAGCAAAAATTATATACAGTATTTTTTTAGATCAAAGCATAAAAAAAATATATCAAGATTTTGTTTAAACCGTGTATTACTTTTATACTGCTTACATTTCTTCAGCCAAAAGCTATCTGATACCAATTAATTGAAAATTTTAAAAATGAACTCTTGTCATTATCACAAGTAATAGATATATATGGTTTTAAATCTGTAAAAATAAGGGACATTTTTTAGATTCGTAACTGCTCCAAAAGTTATCTTTATTTCGTAAAATTTTATTATTTTTGTACGGYTGAAACAATATTTATATTATATTTTACAACAAAGTCGTAACATTGATATTATAAAAGTTCATAAGCAACAAAGCTATGTATTTCAAATATAATATAATTTAGTAAATTCTTAGATTATTCTATAACCGTATAACCGATTTATTTTCTATGATACATAAATTATGATGATTCTTATAATTCGTACAATATACAATATTTTATAGCATCACTTATAGTGTTYGATGAGGTTTATATCATCTTTCTTATAGACAGAAAATTATACATAATGTTCTACAACATTGTTGTTTTTCAGAAATTATTCAACATGAAGAATTTTTAACAAAAACTCTAGTTAATGAGCTCAAATAAATAAAGTAAATAC